CCCTGGGCAAATTTGCACATAAGCAAAGGAAATACACTAACAATAAAGGGGAAATGTTTAGCTTATGATATTAACATGTTTATAGCAGCAACAATAGCATAGGTTCCAACATTATATAAATTTTGATAAACTGCCAGTTTTAAAAGTGAACAAAAAGTTTGCAAGAACTGCTCATGGTATTTAATATTAATAAAAAYATATCTAGGCTCAAGCACTGATATTCAAAGTGGTTGAATTTATGATCGCATTAGCTAATTCGAGTTCTTTCAGATGTGTGAATTAATGACTCAGCTGAGAGTTACTTAAAATATACTTGAAAATCAACACAAGTTTGCAAAGGGGAGAATATGTTCAATGGACATAGAAAACGCTGACTCTCAGGCAGAAATGCTCATTCTTTTTAATCAGAACATGAACTTGCAGAGAAAGGGGAGGTTCCTGCCTTTAACACCATATGGCCCCAAAGGCTAACTTCTGATACCCCACTGCATCATTTCKTCATCATTCTCTTTTCTTTACCCTCCTCCCCCCCCACCCCCAGCATTAATTCCACTAGTAGTGAATGATTGGAGATGACCTATAACTACACATTTCCTAGAAAACAAAGAATCCAACCAGTTTCATGGCTGCTCTGGACAGGAGGGCAAGTTGATTCCTACTGTACCTTGAGTCTGGTTACAAAGAGGCATCACACTCAGAATTGCCCTGAATCTGAGGCAGGAAAAAGAGGATGAGAGGGATCCAAAGCTTTAGGTTCAGACAACAAATAGGACAATAAGCGTAACCTGCATGGACTATCCAACAGCAAGCGGGCTCAAAAGCAGATAGTGCAGGAAACATGGGATCAGCTCTTTGCTGCCCAGGAAGACAGAGGTGGTGCTGAGCACAGAGCAGTGCCAGGCAGCAGGATCCTCCTCAGCTGTGTGCTCACCAAGCCCAACCCTCTGTGCAGTGAATGCCGATGGTACCTGCAAGTGGATCACGACAGAAACAAAAGGGCAGAACAACCACTCACAGCAGGGTCTGGCTGAACTGCACTCCTTGGGAAGGGCAGCCCTGGCCTAGTCCTGCAATAACACATGGTAGTGCTCTCCAGAGCCTTTACTGGAACAGGACAACCTCAGATCTCTTCCCTTCATGGGGTGCCTTGACCATGTAGGCTCCAAAATAACGCCTTCCACTGCATGTAGTCCTTGCTCACTGCTCCAAGAGATAAAAAATCACTTCTACTTACACCACTCCTAGCAGACATTTCTCCAAACAAATCTCTGGTAAGGGCAACTCCACATCTTCAGGCACTCCAATGGTTCAGCACCCCTGCTGTAAGAAAGCTTTTCCCACCAGCAGACTCGTAACCTCCTTGCAGCTATTTTATCCCATTATTTGTGTGCTATGTATCACAGGTATAGAAAACAAACTACTTCCTTATTCTTTGCAGTAACATTTCCAGTATTTTAAGACCCTCATAATGCTTTTACTTCCTCCTTCATTTGTCTTCTCACTCATGCCTGGAAGGAAGAGTACCAGACCTTTTAGCTTGTCCTCACCCATTATATTTTGTAGGCCTTTGATCATACTCCTTTTTTCTAGCGGACAGATAGGGGAACATTTTATTCCACATCTTTCTTGAAGACAGAAGCCACAATATTCGAGTTCACATAAATTTCCTCTTGAATTAATGAAAAGATATTTATTCCCTCAGAAATGCAACAACTTCAATGGGTTCACCAGAAAGRTCACACTCCTCCCTCACCACATGACATGCTGCACAGCTTAATACTGAGGATCTTCTCCTGTGGGATAAATGAAGTCAGTCTGACWCTCCTTGGGTAAGCCTGGTGTCTGACCTTTAGCATCCTGCATCCATGCACTGACAGACAGGGACCAAAGAAGGGTAGAGGGGGCATTCTTCCCCCTCCTGCTTTTGTCTCAGTGCTGGCTTTGGCCGAAGTAGAGTTAATTTTCTTCGCAGTGGATTTGTGCTGAACACAGGGTTGATAATACAGAGATGTTTTCATTATTGCTGAGCAATGTTCCTACAGAGCCCAGGCCTTTTCTGCTTTTCATACTGCCACAGAGGCTGCAGGTACTTGGGATGCTGGGAGGAGACACAGCCAGGACCAGTGATCCAAAGTGACCAAAGGGATATTCCAGAGCAGATGACACCATGCTCAGTGCATAAAGTAGGGAGGAAAAGGAGGAAGAGGGGGACATTCGGAGTGATGGTGTTTGTGTTCCCAAGTCACCGTTACACGAGAGGGCCCTGCTCTCCTGGACATGGCTGAACACCTGCCTGCCCAYGGGAAGCACTGAGACTTMGGCAGCTCTTGACCAAGCAGCAGCAGATCTGTTGGTGCTCTGGCAACTCTGCTAAAATAAAAATAGGTGACTGCAGTTGTAGGCAGGAGGTTGGGAAGGTCCAAATGTAGATCTTTGGCACACAGTGCAGCACTTGGGCACCCAGGGCCATATGGTTATTAGTTTAAAAAGCTGAGCTGCTTAACTGATGGTGGCTCGGATTCCTCCATCTTCTTGGTCCTGGGACGGACCCAAGCACTGCTCTCATACAATTGCACCAGAGACAACAGCACTGGCTTGGCTCTGYATGTCTGTGCATTAGGATTGTAGTACAGGGAGCTAGAAATAAAGCAATCAACCTTTCCCAAATCAAAGAAAGATACTGCAAGTGAGAATGAAGAGAGCGGAAGCTAAGTAGAAGACAAAATAAAACATTTGAAGAAAGAGAAATCAAAACAACTTTCTATATTGACACTTGTTTTTAAACTAAAGACATTATTATGCTGTAGCGAGCCTTGGCTACAGAGAAAAACATTTAGTTGGGAACTAATTAGAGAATTAGCCAGTGTTTAGCTTCTCAYAGATAAAGAAACATAAGCTTTGAAACATAAGTGTTTGCAGTATGCTTTTGAAAACTCTCTGAAGACAGCCAAGCTGAAGTCTATTAAGACACTTCCTTTGACTATTAAATGTCTGTTCAGATACCTTTTTTTTTTCCTTCCTTGATTTTTTTTCATCTTATAAGAGAAGTTCCTGGTACCTCTTAAGAGCAGGCATTTTCTCCCTTGCTTGGAGCATGTCACAGGTATTACCATGTATCACAGGTCATCCACTGTGCCACCATGTAAGTGGGACAAGTGTCAAAGTTGGCATAAAGGACAGTGATCGGTAAATTAAAAGCAACCTGCTGCCACTACATGCCGCATCAACCCTGGAAGCTTATGTTCTAACCAGACCTTTCCCAGGCACCAGGGGGATCAGCACCTGTCCTTGATAGACAGCCTCCGGGTGCTGCAGGGGATGCCAAGTCCCTTTCAGGAGGTTAACCAAGTTCTTGGTTCAGCATGAGGGGACAGTGACAGTAAGTGCTGTCTCTCATCACCTTCAGCAGCTCAACATCCTCTGCCAGGGAAGGGATAACCCATCCTGAAGAGCAGGAGTGACCAGATTCTACACGGGCTCCCATGGTGTGTATCYGGAGCTGGGTGCTCCTCTTGGGGATAACTTGGGCCTGGCCTCAAAAGCAACTTCTCTGCTCTGCTCGCTCTGCCCAGGAGCCTGATGGGAGCCATGAACTCATGTAACCACACGGGATTTTCAGAGCTCTGCTAGTTTGGACTGCAGGTTCCTTCTCTCCAGCYCCACCTGTCAAGGGCCAGTTGCACTCTTGACTTCCCTGCTGTCAAATCGGTGTCCAGGGTGTTGCCTATGATCAGGGATCGCAGACTGTCTCCTCTCTAGCAGAAGACTGTGGGTGCCCAGCAAAGGAGCACTGGGCATGCTGGCACTGACAGTGTTTGCCACCACATAAGAACTGCTGTTGACTGCAGTTGACCCAGTGTAATTCATTTAGCATCTCCAGCTTTGCTTAAATAAGCACACATGCAGATTAAATTATCCCTATTTTCCACGAGACAGATAGTTTTTTTATCTATGCTTTGTGGAAACGGATGAGAGTTTTACCAAGTCTCTGAAGTGGAAGTACTCCACAGAGACAACATTATGTGGGAAAGGGGAATCAATTTTTACTAACCTCTCTTCCACTGTCATGCTACTTTGCAATTTTCAGTGCAACCTCTGATATTCTCAAGAGTCATGAGAATTGTCAGTGCAAATATATTTAGCCATATCCCTTTGGGTAGGTGRGGGAGGAAAGAAACCCCTAAATAGCTGTAAGATAACAATTACTCCAAACATATTTGCTTAGAGAAAGTTTAGTCAGAGTTCAAAGTCCTTGGCAGCTGGATGGCCAGCGGCCAGCTTSTTCTCAAGCTGTCCCTACAAACCTTTACTCTTTGAGGAGCATGCTCAGAAGAGAAACCCCTCTGCTTTCCATAGGTCTTCTCCATATGCTCTAAGAACTACTCAGTCTAAAAGAAATGCTTAAATAAATGGCAAATTATTTAGACATCTCTYCCCTCTTTAACAAAAAAACTCAAAAGTCAAATCCAAGCCCTTCACGATAGAAACCATGTTTCAAATAGGAAAAGGGAAATTCTCACTATTCATAACATTGCAAAGGAATCAGAAAGTTCACAGCTCTACCAAATGAGTGAAAAAGCCCTGGCTTTCATTCAACTGAACTGTTAGTGGGAGTCAGGAGAATCTCCCACACAGCCACAGGAGAAAACTGTGGGATTAAGACTGGAAAAGTAGTAGGGGGAGGATGTGAACACTGTTAAAAATAAAACTTATCAGACAACAATTGAATCGTGAGAATGTTATCTGGTTCAACAGGAGCATGAARACAAATAGGCATTTCAAGAAGAGGGTCACTAGCAAGGTAAATAACTTCAAAATACCAGGAAGTTACCGAAGAAATGTGCCAAGCTGAAGGCAATTTAAAAAAGGTCTCTCCAACAGCAGAAGACAGTCATGGATACAGGTTTCACTGTCACCCTACATGCAGCTGCGTGGCACCCACCCCTTGCATCCCTGACCACAGTAAGACACAAGACTGAAGAGATTTGCACAGGACAATGTTCAACATGACCCAGTGTTTATTGACTCCTGCTACATTTTTTTTTTTTTTTTAAGTAACAGGAACACAAAATGTGATGTGTGGTAAAATACTACTAGGGAGTTTCTATATGAATCCAATGCAAAGTGCCAGCATTGTTGACCAGCATACAACCTGACAAGAGAAGATGTAGTCATAACTCACTCTCAGATATTTGCTGGGAGTATATCACAGTCAAAGTACAACTAGTTATTTGCCTGCAAATATACACATTTTTTCCTAGATGCAAGTGGTGTTAGAGCCAGCTATTTTGCAACAAGAAATACATATAATATATTCCAACATTTAAAAAAAAACCACAATCAGAAAGGACTAAAACTGTTTAAAAATAGAAGGAAAAATATGAGTGGATTTTTTGACACTATTTTGTAGAAGTCATTCCTCATAGAACCAGAAGTCACCTAGACAAAAAGAGCTACTTTGCTCAAAACGCCAGTGTTGAGAATAGTCTCTTCATTTTCAGCACTGACTCCTGGCCTTTTTTCCTCCCTGCACAACAAAAGCCACCTGTTGAAGACTGTGGCTTCATGGCTCTGCACATTTTTCCCACACAACTGCATTAGAAAAGGCAACCATGTTTTTTAAAGAGCCATCCAAAACTTGCATGACACGCACATGTGGCATCTTCACAAATTCGAATGACGAAGGCACATTACCTAAAGGTTAAAAAAAAAACGAACCAGAACTTTTAAAGGATTCAAAGCTAAATGCCTTAGAGAACGCACTCTTTTTCACAACTGGCTGATAAGGGCTGTTTAGCCATTTGATTCAAACAGTTTGCTATGAAGACAAATACCCTCTTTACTGCAGCAACCTGCTTCCCTTACACATTTCATTCCTACAAAGAAGTTTGCAACAATTCTAGAGACAGGTAAGACAAATCTACATAGAAAACATCACACCTGTGTATTCCTACATGACCAACATGCCCACACCCCACCCCCAATTAAACTACAGCTTCTTCAAAGAAATCATCCCAGTGGAAACAGAGTAGAGATCTGAAACAGAGGACTGAGGAATTGGTTTCAAGATCCCATAGCCTCAATTGTTTCTACATTTGATTATGTATGTTAATACAGACAATGCTGTCTGCCAAAGAATTAATTGCTCTGACTTCTATATAGATGAGGAAGATATTGGCTAAAAGTGAAAATATGTACTTTATTTACAATAAATGCAACTATTTTGCTCCATGCTCCATCCACCACACGTGCTGCTGATGACTGCAGAAACCTGGTGGCAGCAACAACGATAACTAAAGTACCTTCCTTTTTCAGCCCTTACACAAAGCCTTTCCCCTCCCACATTATTTTCCACTGCTCCAGGCTCCAGTAAGATGTGTACTAACAATGCTTTCTAGTTCATTTTCAAGGTTACAGTTTTCCTCCTTGTAAAATCATGTAGGAGTTTCAAATTTATGTGCCATTATCAACTTTGCACAGTAATACAGCAGGTTGTATTCCACAACCTTCTTTAAACAGTAATCCTGTGGGCCCCCCTTTCTCAACACCTCACATTTAAAAGGGTTACCTCTCACTCGCAAGGAAGAGCGCAAACTCTTTCTCCTCCCATATGAACATTTCAAAACGACAATTTCAAGTTAACACTATGTTTCCTTCAAGTCTCTGGTGTGTTACTTAGAAGCAACTGTGGTAGAATAATGTTTTTCCTAACATTAAAGGGCATTTATCTTACTCTTTCTAGTCTTGAGCTGTAGGAATATTTGTCACACATGTTCCCTCATATTCCTCTTTTAAGGTGCACAGTGGTCAGGCCTATAAGACCGTAGCTGGATCTCTGGGAGAAACCACAGGTTTCTTAGCACTACAGTGTTTACATTCAGCATCCATGGACAGGCTGAAGAATGCTCAGCTTTTATTTTTTTCTTTAAGATACAAAATTGCTTTAAAAAATATTCTATTTCTATTATCACTTTTTTACGTCATGGAAGTTATTTCTTTTCTGTCCTATGCAGCTGTTACCCTTCTGTCCCTGACATTTAACAGTTGCCATTGCACACTACTTTTCCATTCCCCAGCTCAAGTGCAGCCCCATCACAGCACAGCTGCCCAGCAGAGCATGGGGAAGCGGGCAGGGGCTGATGGTTCAGACAGACAACCTTCACCATCATGGACAGGTGGCACAGGAAAATATGGGACACTGRAGGGGGCATCTATTTGGAACATTTAATAGGGTCTGACATATAYACTGACAACATGAGATAAAAATGAATGAAAGTGAGTGCATTAGGTTGAGAATAATTAGTGTGAGTGATAAACACATCCACTGCCAGCTCCCAGCTGCATTAAGAGCTGTTCTGAACTGTGTAGTAAGTGCTGGTTGTAGAAGCTTAGACAGATTGGAGATAGGTCACCAGTTACTCMTTGAGTCTCAGTTAATCAGTTTAAAAAAGAATGGAAAAAAAAAGTGTGCTTTGCCATTGAATAACTCTGATCTCACAGCTTGGGCTCAGCAGTAGTAGTTAACTGGCATATTAGATCAATTGAAATGGAATTGCAGTTACATTCAAATTACATATGCATGAAAAATTAAACAAAGTGTGTTCAGTAAGAATATGTGGCATAAAAATCAAGTCTAAGTTACCCATTATTATGCCAGACACATCTTTCGATTCATTTCTGTGTCATACAGAACATAGCAGATGGAGAAGCCACAAAGCAAACACCTGATATATCATTGGCCTTAAGGGCCAGTGCATTGTGTGCCACAAGCCTTCTAAATTTACCAAACCTTTGGGAGAAAATAGCTGCTTTACCAAACTGTGAAAATAGAAAACATACAACCCACCCTGCTCAAAACAGGGGGAAAAAGGTTTTATAAAGTTGTGAACAGAAACATAACTACTTTGCCTTCGGTGCTGGGACAGAAAGGGCAGTACAACTGTATGGCTAGGACTAGCCTCTTGAAAAGCAAACAAAATCCAGAAAACGCAATGACTGTGYAGACAAAAATCTGGGAAGTCATGTTATTGAAGAGCTGAAACAATGTTCTGCRCAGCAAAATGATGAACAGTACATCAACAGGTCCATTTGGGACAGACTGTAAAATGACACTCTACAAATATCCAATTTCATTTCACATGTCCAATATCTCTCTGTGCCCATTAGCAGTCTGCCACGGATTTTAAACTTACAAAGCTTCTTCCCATTGAGCTAGAATTTTTTTTTCCCCATAAAGTGCAAATAAGACTCAGGTTTTTACCACTAGTTCCAATGACCATTATCTTCGTTTCAAGAGTGATCAAAAGCCAGTGGGCTGAGCCACTATCACTGGGCTTAGTGATACTCTTGCTGTTTTTTTTTTAAACCCTGGTTATTTTTTCCAGCAAAAGGCAAAGAGAAAACAAGTCTTTCTTCTACCAGATGCAGCATGAGAGGAGACTGCTTTAAGTACCATCAGCATAAGATGCACATGCTAGACCAGTGCATTCTTGCGCATAAAAATGATTTGCCCTTGTTTGCTGGAAATGGAAGTCATCTTTGGGATCTTATTTCCTCACAAAGAGTTCATGAACAGTTGATCAGTCTTCATTAAGAGGTGCTTCTCTCTTCCTTGCATCTACAGCAAAAAGAAGAAAAAGCAAGAAGTGGTTAAACTAGAGGTTTCTGACTGTATTCATCTGAAAACTCAAAACCAGAAAAAAGTTGTTTTGTTTTCAATGTACTACACTTTCCATTTCAGAATGAGGGTATGAATCCACAATGAAGACTGAACTGCTATGTGATGCCACAGTATGTTAATAAGGACAGTTACAAAAAAATCTTGTACAGTTGTCATGCTGAAAATTGAAAATTATTCATGCAGTACTTAGGTAGCCCAATAAACTTTGAGACCCCAGATCACCTCTTGGCCCCTTTTTCATGATCCTCTTTAAGGGTGAAGCCAGTGTTTGCTTTGCATACAAGCTACAGAGATGACAACAGTCTGTTCCAAAAATCATTTCACTAATTGACTAATTACAACTTTGCCCAGCTGCACACATTTTAAAAAGACAAGTGCAATCCACACTGTATTTTGAGGAACCACCTGAGACAGCCCCTTAAGGTCAGATCTTAAACTACTCTGAATAGCAAACATTTGATCATGGTCCCAGATAGGATGTTGGAACACATCTGGACAACTCAGTCCATGACTCATGTGCCATCACTGCAGTAGCAGGCACTGTGGCTGCCATTACAAAGTTGGGTCACCTTTCTGTGGGCTTCTGCCCGTTATTAATATAGAAGACAGACACTTCTTACRGAATAGAGAACATAATTATTGAACTGTTGATGAAAGTCTCATGAATTGGTGCTAAACAAGGTTTGGAGGAGGCAAATATACTTCCCAAATAACAAAAGAAGAGCTGACTTCCTGTGACTGGAGTAGCCACCTGGGGTTGGAAAAAATCTCAGTCATTYGGGACTCAACTCAGAAACTCTCTCCCATTTTCCGCATTTTGCTCATCAGGGATTCTAGGGCCAGGTCTGAATCTTCTGTCACAACTTCTCCATTTTGTATAAAGTAACTCAATAGTGATTAGAGGTGAAAAAGTTTTCTAAAAATGCATTACATAYGCCTCTAGCTACAGAATCATTCAATCTGTCTCTGACTTTGGAAATATCAAAATTCATTAATTTCTTTCTGATGAACATTCATTAAAAAATCATACCAGTTAAGTTCCTGAACTTCTTTTTGGCTTCTGCTCTTTCTTCGGCATCAAAATACCACACAGTCATGGCATATCTATAAAAGAAAGAAACCTTGAAATTGTTTCCACTTTTGATACTAAAATAGAGCACTGGATTTTAATGCTCATGGAGAAAGCAAAAAACAAAACTGATAAAGTAGACTAAAAAAACAGGATGAAAATGACACATCTTTATAGGCAAACACAGACAGCATTTTAGTGTGTATTTTAACAAGTCAAATAGAAATATAGGTGAGAATTACTGCTGGAGGCACAAAAGAGAGCAAAGCCCCTGGTAACAGAGGGCAAAAGTAGCTTCCAGACCTTTGCATGTTTTTCTGTTCTGGGAAGCCTGTAGGAAGCTTGGAGGCTGCCCTGTGTCACATCAGCTTTTCACAGCTTGCTGACAGATGGTAGTCCCAACAATCCCTGTAGTGCTACAAGGGCAAAAGAATAACCCAGCACCTCCCAGCTAAATAGCTGTGCCTGGCTTGGAGGATTTCTCCTGTCAATGGCTAAAGGACTTTTCTTCCATCACACACAGAAACGTATCATTCAAGCTTGCTCCTCCTTATTTAATGAGAGAATTCCCAGTGATTCAAAACCAGGAAATTCACTCAAAACCTGTTGATTTTTTTATGCACATGTATTTAAAGATGATGGCCATAATTTGGGATACAAATTTAGTAGAAGCTTTGGGGTTTTTCCTAGTCAAATGCCAATACCAAATATGCTATCTACCTGGTTGCATAAGAAGGCTGGACTTCATGTGGGTTCCTTCGATCTGACCAAAAAAAAAGTAATCGGTCAAAAATCGGCTCCACATCTGCTACATAGGACTTTCCTTCTGGGAATATTCGAAGAATTCCACCATGCAGCTGAAAGAAAAGGAAAGATTGCTATTTACACATATAAAGAGCCACACATACATATGAAAAGACTGATTTCTCCCTCCTCAACACCTAACAAATGGGGAACAAATATCTAATGATAAACATGACAGCTATATGACAACACTGGAAAACCTTACTGTGTCTCTTGGCCATTTTGATTTTCCCAGTTTGTAATGTTTCAGCATAACACCAACCCTACAGCAAACACTGGGAAACTTCTGAGCTTCCAGTTAGATTTCTAAGCCTTCTGAAATGTATTTTAGATCCCAGCCACCATTTTACCTACTTATAACACAGCCTGGTTTCTCTACCATATAACTTCTGTCTTTCCATGTGCCATGATTTTCAGGGAAAAGGTCTGGCGATCTGCACCCACTCTAGAAACTGCAAGAGACAAAGATGAACCCTGCCTCCTCCTGCTGCTAAGAGGGCTGTTTGGAGACTTTCATGCTGCACCACAAAGTGCAGGGAAGGTGCTGTCAACACAGCTCTGAGCTGACATGGTACCTCCACCCCACATGCAGACCTCAGGGGGGAATTATTAAGTCAGGTTTAAAGCTCCATGGTTGCTTTCAAAGCCCAGGATGATTATACTCTTATATTGCATCTCTCCAGCATACACTTAAATAAAATCACCATCACATCTACATAATAAATTCCATCAGTGTCCTGGATTTCTGTTAGCTTTTCTTAATGCTCACTTGGGCGCTTCCTCACCATTTCAATAAGGGCACAATGCACAAAATAAATTGGGTATTTGCATTTCCTCCCACATCTCCACCTTCATTTTATTACATTGAGATGTTTCACTGTCATACTCTGTAAAGGAAAGTGCTTTTCTATAACAGTGCATTTTTCAATGGTATTGCCTCTATATCTGAATTCACTTAGGGGGTTCATAGTATTTACATGTGCTTAAAGAGCATATTGGTCTAAAAAGAGGKCCGAGAAGCAGAAAACATTGGACAATTTTCAAAAGATAACCCACGTGCATGATTTGTGCTGCATTATAATAACTGACTTGTAGACATTCTGCAAACCCTTCTTTTGTTTCTAACTTAGAGGTAAGGCACATTCAAGGCTGACCTAACTGCCYTATGGTAATATAAGAAACAAGAGCTCCATCCTGTCAAGACACCCACTGGTGGAATCAAACCATGTGTTTGYTCTTCTTACTAAGCCCTATTGCTTCATAAATAAGAAAACCACAAAGGAAACTGCCTGAATATCTTCTGCAGGTTAGTCCTAAGTATCAAGGACAATTAAGTTACAAATTTGGGCTGTCATTTTAATCTGCTCCCAGAATCTATTTATTCTGTAATGGATTGTTCTTCTGCTGTTTCCTCTAAATAAAGTGTTAAGAGCACACAGCCCAGTGCTTATAGCTTTATTCTGTAGCAACAAAATTGAGGGGGGAGAGGATAAGGAAACAGTTCAGATTCTTACTTCCAAAGGATTGCCAAAAACACCCAGAATAAAAGAAAAAAAATTAAAAATAAATAAAAAAAAATAAATAAAAAAAAGAAGAATAGACCAGCAGTTCAGAAGTTCAGCAGAGTTCACAGAAAYAGCAGACAGCTCCAAAGCTCTGCTTCCAAAGTAGATTTTCCTTCCTGTTCTGCCTCAGCCGCATGGCTTACTCACCTTGGAGTCCCAGTTCTTATTCAGATAATAAATACAGGTGATGCAGCGCCCGTCACCATTTGGATTGTCCACATGACGAACATACCCAGTTCCATTTCCAGGATAGCAAGCAACCATAGCCTGAAAAACAAAGATTGTAAAATAATTAATTCTACAAGAYGCCTACCTTCAGTTTTAATTTGCTRAACATCCTCCCACAATCATTTTTCAGATGATCAATCCAAAACCTAGAGCAGACACCAGCTGAAGGTATCTTTTCACAAACTTCTTTCACAGAACAACTCAGCCAGTGCAAAATTCCAAACAGGAAAATAAATAAATACCCTTCATAATTCACAATATATAAACTAAAATAAAAGGAAAAAAAATGAATTAAACTAAAGTTCTGGTATGTATGATACAGGTTTGTTGTCATTTACAAGCTACGTGACTTTGAAGCAGTTTCAGATTAAATTTGCTTGGGTTTCTAAAGGTAAACAGTCATTGCAAAACTGATTTTCCAGTCATAATGAAAGCAGAAAGCAATCCCAGGACGTCATGCTTCTACCACCATCCTTCTCTATTCATAGCTTGCAGTYGTTGTCATATAGACCCCTATGGCCAACACAAAGTGAGGGTCCCCAGGACGTGTGGATAGAAGTCCACAGAGCAAAGTCTGCAAAAAGCTGCAACTCTTTTGTGCTGTGTTTGCACAAAGCAATGCATGTTTGCTTTCATGGACTGAGCCACAGAAATAACCAAACAGCTTTCAGAGCATACTTCTCTCTTTGATCATCTTCAGACTTGCTGATAYAGCCACTTAATTCATGGTTTAAATTTCACCTTGAATGATGAGATAAGCCTAACATGAATTACTCCAAACCACAAGAAAATCAACAGGCCTTAAAAGGTTTTTTTTACAGCAAAAGCATATTAAACRGAGTTGACATGATTAGCAGCTTAAGCCGGGAAGAGCAGGTAAGACTGCTAGCAGGGTACTAAATCTTTGTCTCAGAGTCACTCTTCACTACTGGGGCTGCTTGGTAGTGATACTGATCACCACTAAAGCTGTGACAACGGAAGTCTTGTCTTGTTCCCACTCCTCTGACATCTCCAGATTGCTTGCCAGAATTAGAAGCAAGAGTGATGGGAAATGGACTAAATTCAGTTGGGAAACTGCAGATAGTGCTCAGATGTGGTTTCCACAGAGAKGAGGAGAGTGATAATCACTTCTCAATCTAGATGCTGTGCTCCCATAAATATGCTGTGAAGGAAGCATACCATAGGCTAATGTTCAGCTCACGGTCCACCAGGACCATCTGAGGCTTCCTAGGTTCCCCTGGGAAGTAGAGCTGCTGGCAGCCCCCAGCCTGTACTTGTGTAAGGGGCAGGAGCAGCCTTTTGCCCATGTCTAATTTCAAAAGGTTCCTGTTAGCCTGTTTCCCCAGACCCTCCATGCTCTTTTTGGTGGCAGCCTCTCCCTCAAGGGCATCAATTGATCCCCCTCAGTTTGGTGTCTCCTGCAGGCTTCAGGAGAGCACATTCTGCCATCTGCTTCAGGTTACTGATAAATAAAGGTGTTTAACAGGACAGATCCCATGACAGATCCCTGGAGTGCTCCATCTGGTACCAGCCTCCAGGTATCAAATGTTTGATTGACCATGACCCTCCAAGTCCAACCATCCAATCAGTTTTTACTCGTCTAGTTTTCCATCYATTCAAACCATAACAACCATAACATCCTAACTTCAGATATAAGAGTACTTTATAGAATGAGGATATGACTGTGCACCATTTGTGTGACCTGCCCCAATGATCTGCCATGCAGATCAATTATATTCATAATGTAATTGATAATTGGACACTGACAGCACAGGCTTCACTAAGAGCAATTGAAATCTTTATCTAGGAGCCCCAGAAGTCTTGTTTTCTTCTTCCAAGCACATGCTAAAGCACATGCTGTTCTCATGGGACCCATGAGCAGCTAATATAGCACATGCTGGTTAAATCACCAAGGAAATTTCACTGTGCCAACACCAGCCAACACTGTGTCAGCACAGAAGCTACTGTCAGCCAGCAGAGTGGATCCCTTGAACCCTCTGCTACCAAGAATAAAATCTATCTGGAGGAGTCAACCATGTATGAATAATTTTCCTCCTCTCAACAAGCACCAGAACAGTACCTGCAGGCAGCAGTAAGTCACCAGGGCCCACTCTCCACACCTCAGGCCACAGATGCCTGGAGGCTAGTGGCCTGCAGGGGGACGATATTATCCTAAACAAAAGCAAGTACCTTAAATTCCAAGTAATAAGCCCTGTTCCATCGCAGCTGGCAGTTAGGTAGATGCCTTGCTGTAGGTTCTATCTGTTCTGTTGTCACTGTGCTGTTACAAATGGCTCCACAGGTGTACTACATTTCACTATCACTGGAAATAGCAGTAAGGGCCAGCCTACAGCACAGTGCTCCAAACAAGTTTGTTTAGGGTGTAAGTTTGGTGGAACCACAAGCCAGCTGTATCTGCAATGTAAAAATGTTCTGAGGGAGCTGTGCCCTCACTGGTGAGGATAACCCACCTTGTGCATACCCCCCCACAACAGTTGCTAGCACAGCACCTCATGCAGGTGCACCTTCACCCATCCCATCAACAGTGAGCTGCATCAGGGCTAACAATAAAATAGCAACCTTTTGCAAAATGGGATCATCGTACACTGGGAAACATCATCGTGGAGCCCTTGAAGCCAATCCATCACTCCCCTCCTCAACTGAGCACAGCTCCTGCCGAGGACAGGTGCACCCACACCACCAGTGAGGCTCAGTGGGGCAACCACACCAGAGGGATGATGAACCATGGCAATGCTACTTTGTTGACTGATAATTCCTCGTTTTCAAGTCAATGTACAACACAAAATTATGGCAGCCTTAAGGCTCTCTTTAGACAGTATACATTACTCCAAGATTACTGAACTGCCCAAAAATCAATCCAATATTACTGCTATTTTTTAATGCCACAATCAAAAAGTTACTGAACAGCAGACTGAAGAGCAGACCCTTAAAGGGATTTAGGTGCTTTATTTACTATGGAAATCTGGGCAAAAGGCCAGAGTTTTCCCTGGCCTTCCCCACGTAATATGTTCTCTTAGCAGAACATGTGCTTTGTTTCCAACACTGATGCATAATTTATTTATTTACAGTGTTCACCTTTTGCAACTGAAACATTCAGTCCCTAGAGATCAAGTGGAACAATTCCCACAGAACCCTAAACCACTGGCCACACTATAGCTCAGCTTTCAGAAAAGCGAAGAGCAGCAGCAGCAGCAAAAGAAGAAAAGCAGAAGCGAAATATCCTTTTTCCTGGCACAGCGAATATTTGAATGAAACCTTAAACAATGAACGGAAATCATTCTGGTCCTCCTAGAGACTGTTGTAATGATATCGAGCTTTATCAGAGCACTGGCTGGAGCAGTTCCAGAGCAGATCAAGCTGGCCTCAGCAGGGATCCCAGCTGTTAGCAGTACTTTTGGATTCATTTAAAGCAAACAAGAAACAGGAGATGAGATGCGTGACCCAGACTTAATTTAGGTAATTTGTGAACACTGGTATTTGCCAGTTTAGTGCACAGTCTGGCTACAAAAGCCAGAGGCTTGATAACAATAATCTAACCATTTACCGGGTGTGCACGTGGAGCGTTAGTAAAAACTGTTTCCTATAATTTCGGCTATTGTGTCCAGAAGAGCATACTCCATTTTTGGAAGCCATTCCTCCCTTCATTAACTAACTCCAAACCTAAACTAGGTAAACTACCTATAGCAGGCAGTAATGAGCAGGAACGTACCCAACTTTCCTTTTCAATACAATCCATTGCAATGGCTGTTTGTTGGCTTAACCTCCCAGTGTAAGCACTCAGAAAATTTCTGCAACACTGCCCTCTTCTAAGTTAAAAATGAAGCGTTTGTCTAACACAACAGCTGAATAGTTAAAAACTGATATCCAGATGCATGCCTTTGGAGTCACACAGACATACCGCCATATGAAGACCAATGCTCTGGTAGTCTAGTCAACAGACATAAATTAAACCCCACAAAATTTGGACAAAGAAAAGCAAATCATGAAGAGTAAAGTTTCTGCTCTTTTATTTTTAGGGATGCTAGCTTTCTCAAGAGGGTGCAAATCAACCGGAAGTCAAACAGGCAGCAATTACCAGCTTTAGTAAGAACCTAGGAATCATCAGCAAATTCCACATTGCACAGAAGCTTGCAAAAATAAGTTATCTATCATTCAGTCTAAGTATTACACTCTAGTCAGCCAGAGAAATCTGCAAGTCAAACTGCAAGGCACTAGTGAAGTTTGAAGGCAGACAAAAACCAACTGTTCCATTGAGAGGATTTTTCTCTGCCTCCCAGTGCTTCTAGCAAGGAGAAAAACATATTCTCTCAGCTGATGGCCAGGATCATGCTGTGAGACATGATTCTGCTACATTTCACAAAATAAGCAGGGCTAGAGCAGCCTGATACTTGGAACAAAACATTTCAGAAAATATCTCCGATAGAAGATGCTTGTAAGTGGAAATGAACAGTGCTTCATAGGAAGCAGTGGTGACACCAGGTCAGAAGGAGAAGCTCTCCGTGCCCACTACCACAGGACCAGGGCCCCAGTGCACTCCCAGTGCAGACAATATAGATGGTATTGTAACCCCAAACTAATCCTATATTTTTCTCTCAAAATTAGTATGGTCTTGCAACGAGCAGAGAAAATCCTGACCTGTGCAACTCTATCCTGCCAACACCAACCATCCTGGCAGATTAAGCTGAAGACTCCACAATATGCTTTACCATTTTCTATGCCAGATTTATACAGTATATTGTTTAACAGCATCTATTTTTGGATCCTATTGTAGATCATCTCTGTGTACAGCTTGCTCATCAAACACTTAAATTCAGAAATTACTTGTCAAGTCAGTTGAAAGGTTCTATATAGCCACAAAGCAATGCTAATCTACGATATCACGATGACGGTTGTCTAGAAAATCAAGATATTGATAAGAATTAATAATGCAATAGTCACTGCAGCTTTCACATATATTTTTATTTGGCTGCACACTTCCCAAATTTCAGCCCAAAACATGGTTCTCAGTCCTGAACTTG